GGATCACAATTTCAGCTATTAGACGTACAGAAGTCGGTAAGTCTGTAACTGTCGTGCCTTTTGTGTGTAACCGTAGTCGTTTTCCCATTAAGTATGTGGCGTAAGGCTCACTTTTATGAGAGGCTCAAAGGTCTATGACCTGTGATAAAAAAAAAAGAGGAAAGAAAAGTCAAGGCCCTGACCTGACCTGTCCTGTCTGAAAGTTTGTTGTTGTGTAGCGTGATAAATTTGTCCTATGGTTCAGATGGTGTATAAATGTATCCAACGCCAATAAAAACAAAATAAAACGAAGACAACAATGGTGGTTAGTTGGCGGGTGCTCTGGTGTTGTTTGCTTCTTCTTTCCTTTAAAACATCTATCGTCCTTATCTTTCCTTTTTTGTGTTTGTTACTGCTTTGTAATACCTTTAATCATTGGCACTTAATGACCTTATTGAGTTGCAAACTCCATAAAACTCCCTCACTAAAACGAAAAATCAGTCATGACTCTATGGGCAAGAAAGTCGTCTCTCCCCCCTCCCCTCACCCCCACACACACTCACACACGTACACACCATTAGCATCTTTCTCATATAAGTACATGTATTTGGGTTTTTTATGCGCCTCGTTGCATCAGTATCACCACGTTCTATCACAAATCAACACTTAGTTCTCATCCGTGTCATGGTAATGGTAGTTTTTGGAATTTTGTCTTCGTCTAATGGAGTTTTCGTTCAGTCCACTTCTTTTTCTTTTTAGTAAAATGAAAACTGAAGCGTTGCATTGCATTGGAAATATATAACGGTCTCCAATGTCGCTCTCTATTTTTTTTGGTGGTGATTGTGTTGTTTTATTTCGAAAATGGAAGTGATGGGGATTTGGATTAATGTGAAAAGGAGGCAATACTATTGAAGTCAAGGTGCGCTCATATTATGACGTTATGCAGTTGCAAGCGCCGTAAAAAAACCTCACAAAAAAACCAAAGCATTAAACAGAGACTAAAAACACCGTTAGTGTTTTACACCTCCAATCAATACTAATCTTATTCAAGAGGCAGACTGCTTCGACCCTGCCTGCTAGGGCCAACCTCGGCTGAGAGGGTTACAACGTCTCTGCAGACGTTTTACCCCTCCCAGCAGACAGACTGAGATACAGTCCTTCATGTACTGAAACCCCCCAAACACAAAATGGGACTCCAGTCTTCTGCGTGAGACGGCGAAGCGCCTGTCTAACCGCTACACAACAGACGCACGCTGGTAGACAAAGCCGAAACAACTGTCAACTGAACAAAGGCAAGCGTGTGACGAGACAGCTTTTACGACTAAATTATGTTCTTTTAGCAGTTCGTAGAGAGATAAAAGGCAGATCAGATCTTGTGGGTGGTGTGCGTCCCCTCCGTCCCCCTTCCCTCTCCTCTCTGTCCCAGTTTGTCTACCTAAGCACTATGACGTCAGTACTGTTGGTACGAACTGTGCAGTCAGGCAGCAGCAGGCAGTGCCAGACATTTCGATTGTGGTGAAATGAGGCATTCACTCACTGTGTGTGACTGAGTCTGAGAGAAGGGTCTGAAGATTGATCCCGATTTACGGGCTTCCACCAGTCTCATTACCGCAAGGATTGTCCTCTTGTCACCTAACGATTTCCTGTCGGTTTTTTTT